AAAGGGGGCGTAGGTGGCAATGGTGCCAAAACCCTCATGATTCATTCAATATATTTAGATATGTTATATAGATAAGCCGTGAGGGGGTAGGAGGGGGTGGTGGTAAATGCGGTAATTGCTCAGAATGGGCTTTTCAGTTGACCTGGGAATGAATCCAGCACCGCTATTACTTCAGAAAATTTGAAGTGGTTTCTGTCTTAAATTCTGTGAATTAAATTTTTAGTTCAAAGAACATAAAAACAAATAACAATCAAATCGTTAAAGGGCTAAGCTTTTTAAAATAATAGATGACATTGCATTAGTTGTTGTTTTTTTTTTAAAGCGATCTTAATTAGTCTTTTTTTTATTTTTAAAATATCACGTGACTGATATAGCACGTGAATGATATAGCACGTGCCTGATATAGCACGAGAATGATATAGCACGTGACGGATGTAGCACGTGACTGACATAGCACGTGAATGATATAGCACGAGAATGATATAGCACGTGACTTATATAGCACGAGAATGATATAGCACGTGACTGATATAGCACGAGAATGATATAGCACGTGTCGGATGTAGCACGTGACTGATATAGCACGTGAATGATATAGCACGAGAATGATATAGCACGTGACTGATATAGCACGAGAATGATATAGCACGTGTCGGATGTCGCACGTGACTGATATAGCACGTGAACGATATAGCACGTAAATGATATTGCACGTGACTGATATAGCACGTGACTGATATAGCACGTAAATGATATTGCACGTGAATGATATAGCATTTGGTTGATTGTGCGTCGATTTTTTTTTTTATTACGAGATTATGACGTGACGTGTGCAAAGTTGCAGTCTTATCGTAAGAGTTAGGGGAGATAAGTCCTAAAAAATATTGAGCTAATAAAGAGTCCAAGAAAAGCACCAAATGGTCAGCACTGACGTTGGCTTCCGTATGCAACTGTTTTTTTGTTGTTTTTTTTAATGTTATTGGTAATCTAAACTGTTGGCAGACTTCCCAGTGCAAGACCATGACCTACAAAACAAACCCTATTTACCAGGGGTGGACTGGGTCGCCGGGACACCGGGAAGATTCCCGATGGGCCGCTAGGGCCGGTGATAGAATAAAAATAAAAGTCATGAAGATAGGGCCGCTTTTTGTTTTTTTTTTCCGGGCCGCTTTGATTTTTTCCCAGGCCGCTTGAACTCCCCCAGTCCACCCCTGGTATTTACTCCAATTAAGTCAGGTGTTCTTAACCTTTTTCCCCAGCGACGCAAACCCTCTCTTTATTTCCATTCATATTTCCCGCACACCTAATCATTCATATTTCCCCGCACACCTAATCATTCATATTTCCCCGCACACCTAATCATTCATATTTCCCTGCACACCTAATCATTCATATTCCCCGCACACCTAATCATTCATATTTCCCCGCACATCTAATCATTTATATTTTCCCGCACACCTAATCATTCATATTTCCCCGCACACCTAATCATTCATATTTCCCCGCACACCTAATCATTCATATTTCCCCGCACACCTAATCATAAAAATTCTAATAAAAATGAAGCAACCCTATCCTGTTGGGTAAGCCACAATCCCTGACAAGGCCTCCCGCAACCCTTGATGATGCGGGCACCCGAGGTTTAAGAACCACTGAACTAAGAGGAAGTAGGCCCTTTAAAAATGATTATTATTGATAGCCAGCAAGGGGCCCTCAAGTTGATACATATTTAGTGGTCCAGGTTACCTAGGAATTAAAATCTTATAGGTACAGCGATTTTTCATAATAATTCGTTTGACTTTGAGTGTGATCTGTACTTGACATATTGGATATGGGCGTATTGTAACAGGTATTTAGTGATAAGATGTTTCGCTTTTTTTTATGTGTGCTTAATCGCGTGCATGTACGAGACATAAGTATTAAATGCACACGGGGCTACATTTATACAGTATACTCTTTAGAGGATAGGGCATTTTATTTTTCATAAAACTTTTTTTTTTTTTACATTTTTCTGTTGTTTTTTTTTTTTTTTTTTTTTTTTTTTTAAGTCCTTTCTTTTCCTTTTTTTTTTTAAAAAAAAAAAAAAAAAAAAAATATTTTCCTTAAAGTCCCTTCCTTTCCTTTCTTCTTTTCTTTGTTTCTGTCTGTTTTTTGCGCCCACTCCTTCTTTTTTTCTTTTTTTTTTTTTAGGTAGGATACATGTAGATATCTATTATGTAAATTTCATTTATACTTATTTAAATGTTTTCTTGTCAACCTGATGTGCCGAAACGTTTATTGGTGTATTATGTAAAATGATTATTAAAGCTTTACATTAGTTGTTATATTGACACAGATTGGTCGTGTCTAGTTAATCTAATTCTAGCCAGGAAGGCAACAACAAAAGTCGGAGTACAAAAACTGATGTTACTGACTATTTAAATAAAATGGCCAAGATCAATTTGACTGGAATAGTTAGAAATCATTTTTTTTCTTGTATAACAATACTTTTTTTTTCAAAGAAGAAACACTAAATTTTTTTTGTAATTTTTTTTTTTTTTGGAATCGGTCTTCATAATGGGCAATATGCATATCTTATGTTACTAGTGTGATGTAGGCCAATACGGTACTTCGGAAGTCCATAAGAACCATTCGTCTTCATAGTCAGATGAATATCATACAGTGCGTCATTTATGGACATTGAAGACGACATCCGATGACAGCAATCCAACTTTTGCGATTCTTTCTCCTTGTGTGCGTGTGTTGCCTGTTGTACGGAGAACATGGCTGATCTGTTCTTTGGGTAATAGCCAAGCAAGTGTTATAGATTGCAGTGGTGTACATGTGAATAGAAGTCCCCAACGGTACAGATCGGATAACCTGAACAAATACATCGAGGAAGTAAATTTCTTGTTAAAGTTTCTTTTGTCTGTTCTTTCAATTAAATTTCCTGTTAAGTTCTAACTTCACGGTAACAATTTAAACATTGATATTCATACTTACATTTCCATACGTAATCTTTAAATAACCTGATAACCTGAACAAATACATCGAGGAAGTAAATTTCTTGTTAAAGTTTCTTTTGTCTGTTCTTTCTTTTAAATTTCCCGTTTAGTTCTAACTTCACAGTAACAATTTAAACATTGATTTCATGCTTACATTTCCTTATACGTAATCTTTACTTCCTCTTTGGTAAAGTTTGTTTCTTTTCTTTCAGTTAAAAAAAAAAAAATACCCGGTTGTCTTGTCAGTGGAGAGACATGAACAATAAAGAATTCATTCAAAGACAGTTATCGGTCTTTGAAAACGATTTCCATTTTTAGTTCTTTCATTAAGGAGGTAAGTATTAGTCCATCTGTATGCCTTGAGAGTCAAGGTCACAACTGCATGAAATTAAAATGGTTTTCAATTCAATGACTCTAAAAAGCGTCTCTGCTTTGAAAAAAAAAAGTCAAATAATATATACGCTCGTACTTAGACAACCACATGGGTGACTGGAGCTTGGGACAAAGTTTTATAATAAGGGGGCTATTAAAGTAATTAGAAGACAACACATTTTGGGTATAGCCAACTCGCACAGTAGCCAAATGCCTCGGATAAAAAAAACCCACTTAAATGTGCACATTCATCGATAATGAAATAATTGATTTTCCACTTTAAGTTATAATATGTATATATTTATATATATATATATATAAGTATATACATACATACATATAGATAGATATGTACATATATACATACATACCGTATTTTCCGGCATATAAGACGACTTTTTAACCCATGAAAATCTTTTCAAAAGTCGGGGGTCGTCTTATAAGCTGGTATACGGCGAGCTGAGACTTCAAGGACAGGCGGCCCCTCTAGTTCCAGTCTGGTTGACAGCTTAGAACACATACAGCATTGCAGCTCCCATGGGTTGATAGAACACATACAGCATTGCAGCTCCCATGGGTTGATAGAACACATACAGCATTGCAGCTCCCATGGGTTGATAGAACACATACAGCATTGCAGCTCCCATGGGTTGATAGAACACATACAGCATTGCAGCTCCCATGGGTTGATAGAACACATACAGCATTGCAGCTCCCATGGGTTGATAGAACACATACAGCATTGCAGCTCCCATGGGTTGATAGAACACATACAGCATTGCAGCTCCCATGGGTTGATAGAACACATACAGCATTGCAGCTCCCATGGGTTGATAGAACACATACAGCATTGCAGCTCCCATGGGTTGATAGAACACATACAGCATTGCAGCTCCCATGGGTTGATAGAACACATACAGCATTGCAGCTCCCATGGGTTGATAGAACACATACAGCATTGCAGCTCCCATGGGTTGATAGAACACATACAGCATTGCAGCTCCCATGGGTTGATAGAACACATACAGCATTGCAGCTCCCATGGGTTGATAGAACACATACAGCATTGCAGCTCCCATGGGTTGATAGAACACATACAGCATTGCAGCTCCCATGGGTTGATAGAACACATACAGCATTGCAGNAAAATATATTTTTGTTAAAGTGTTGTACCCATTTTTCTCGGGGGGGGGGGGGGCAGCACTTGTCTTTCCCCGGAGATATAGATGAAAGAGACACTGCCTGCATGTCATAATCATTTAAATTACCATATTGAAATCAAATGGGATTATTTAAAATTTTTCTGCGTTGGATGAGGTGTAGTCTTATACGGCGAGTATAGCCCAAACCCAATAATTTAACAGGAAAAGTAGGGGGTCGTCGTATACGCTCATTCATGTTATACGCCGAAAAATGCGATATATATATATGTGTGTGTGTGTGAGAGAAATATGTTCATTCTGGTGCAGAAATGCAAAACACGAAAAAACAATATATACATTTAAAAAATGTTTCTTTATATTTTATATGAACATGAAAATTATATTGATTTTAATGATAAGCTGACGTATAGAGATAACAGACACGAGACAGGCACAAGCTGTTGGCGTGAGAACTTCATTTTATGTGTTATTCAATAAATAGTCAAAACTACTATAAGAAATTAACTACTTCATATGAAATGAAGAGAGCAAGGGAACCCAACACTTGTAATACATGGAATGGTTAGAATAAAGGGAACCCAACTTTTGTAATACATGGAATGGTTAGATTAAGGGCTCCCAACACTTGTAATACATGGAATGGTTAAAGTAAGGGCACACAACACTTGTAATACATGGAATAGTAAGGGCACCCAACACTTGTAATACATGGAATGATTAGAGTAAGGGCACCCAACACTTGTAATACATGGAATGGCTAGAATAAGGGCACCCAACACTTGTAATACATGGAATGGTTAGAGTAAGGGCACACAACACTTGTAATACATGGAATGGTTAGAGTAAAGGGAACCCAACACTTGTGATATATGGAATTGTTAGATTAAGGGCTCCCAACACTTGTAACACATGGAGTGGTTAGAGTAAGGGAACCCAACACTTGTAATACATGGAAAGGTTAGAGTAAGGGAACCCAACACTTGTAATACATGGAAAGGTTAGAGTATGGGCATCCAACACTTGTAATACATGGAATAATTAGAGCAAGGGAACAAACACTTTTAATACATGGAATGGTTAGAGCAAGGGCACCCAACAAGAGTTGTACAGGTATAATGATAGATATGTGCATTAATTTTCTTAACTACGACACATAGTTCAGATTCATATGTTGAGTAAACACTTTAAAATTTATCATAATAAAGCATTGGTTGAAAAATAAATATCATCATCTTGAAATTAAGTAATTTTAAAGTAATTAAATACATTTTGCATTTAAACTATTGTCATAGAATTTTACGTTTACTGTTTATTTACAATAATTTTTTTTACATAATGTGGAGTGGGGGTTGGATGGATGGATAAAAAAAATTGCGAAAATCGCCACAAACATTAAATTACACATTTGATTAATTTTTACGGAAAACAAGTTGTGACACCACGAATTTATCACACCCAGTGGCAATAACCCAAGTGACTCCTCTGTTTACAGTCATGGCTAATATTTTTGGAATTTAAGTTTTAAAAATAAACTGAAGGTATTTATTTATACAGATGTTAGCAAAAAGACTTCCCACATCACAGGTGTAATACCAGAAAGTAGAGAGAAAAACCATGCGGTTTTTGGAAAGTTTACAAGATAGATCTATAGTCTGTACATTTTTAATGGCTTTTCTGTAATAAGATTACAGAATAGCACACTTCTTTCCCGTTTTTGAGAGCTGTTGTTCATATTCTTCCACATCTTTTAAATAGTCAAGTGGAGGCCATCTGTTTTCTTTGACATATTTACTGTCATCGGGATTTAGTTGAGCAAACTCTTTTCTCATGGAAAATGCATTGAAGTTTGTTGAGATAAAGTGGAGACAGAATGTTACCAGCTGATCGGCATTAAAAGTCTGAAATAAAAAAAATTGGAAGTCATAATTAAATTTCATTTATTCTAAGTAAAATAGGTGTTGTCATTTTCTGGAGTGCTGCTTATGTGTAAAAATATTTTCAAACAAATTTGTAATGGGGATTAATATCATGAAACTTATATGAGCTCTACTCAATAGGCCAAAGAGATCAATCTCTGCTCTCTCAATGTGGCTTTAGCATGCTCAGTCATTTAATTCAGGAAACTTACATGAGCTGTATTCAATAAGCCAATGACATCAATCTCTGCTCCCTCAATGGGGCTTTGGCATGCTCTGTCAACCTCCTTGCTGATATACAGTTCACTCAAGTTGACCAATCGCTGCTGGCAGTTCTCATCAGCCAGAGACAAGACACCAACCAGGTCACTGCTCTCATTAAGTGGGGCATGGTCAGTGTAAAGGTACTCTAGTAAAGCTAGAAAGTTCTCCTTGGTAGCATGAGGAATATTGACCTTGAGGATAAAACATGAACGTAAAGTTAACACATAAATTAATTTAATCAAATTTCAAATTAAACACACAAAAAATGTATATGATAAGTATATGGTTAAATAAGTGTTCACCAGCACATAAAGTATATGTAGTGCAAAAATATAAGTTAATAAGTGTTCCCTAGCATGTAAAGTATATTTACTGCAAGAATATAGTTTAATAAGTGTTCCCTAGTAAAGTATAAAGACTACAAGTTTTACTGCTTTGTCTTTACTTGTGCAATTCTTTCATTGTTGCCTTCCATAAAATTGCCTGACAACATGGCAGCCATTACATCATTTCTAGTACAAAGTACAATTTTATGGGCAAATATTGGATCACCTGCAATTACAATGATAATACATTAAAAGTATTACAAATAAAAGTTATGCCACAATAGCATTTCACTTAAATGTAATTTTCTCAAAATATAATATTAAAATATTGCTATGATAACAAACTTTAGCTTTATAACTTCATATAATATATATTGTCAAGTGACAAATGTAAATATTCTTTAATCTAATATAGTTAAACAAAATGCAATGGCTTACATCAATTTAATGTTTCATAAGAATACATTAAAAATAACATTATAAGTTCTCACTGGCTATTTTTTCTGTGTCTTTGTGTGCATAGTTTAGCTATAAAAGTTCTTATTGGACGTCAAGTAAAGTAAATGCTCATACTGAATCCTCTTGAATGTATTTCATTTGGTGAATATATATCTTTTTTTAAAAACGTGTATAAATTATTTATTTGGAAAAAAGGACTTGCTTTAAGACAAATGAATAATTAATTTGATTTAAAATCTAAGCACACATTTTTCAATTTAAAAAAAATGTATCTACAGAATAATTATTTGTATAGGGAAAAATATCAATTATAATCAATCATTACCTTCGACATTAAAAATTATGTCAGCATTTGCTTGCTGGTTAAAGAAAAGCTCTTTCATCTTTGCCCCAGTCTCGTCATTAAGGTGTGTCCCAATGCTAGGGTTGAGGAACTCTTCTTCTCTCATGATGTTGTCACAGATTGTTGTCAGGTAAGGTAGTTTAAAAATGATGGATGCACGGCGCAGGTCTTGCAAATCCTTTTCACTAGCATCCTCTGGTATGTTAGGTAAACCTGATATCAATATGAAAAGTTATATTTTCAAAACAAAGACTCCATTAAGAAACATAATAATAATCTTGCTGCCTATAACATGAGCAGGGCCTTTCAAAGGTAATGTGAGGAAAGGGGTCCTTAATGTTTAAGGGCATCTTGTCTAAAAACTTAGAGCATTGATGTAAATGAGTAATGTATATTTTTATATAGTAATTGTAAAAAAATTGAAGCCACTGTGAGGACTGCTCTGAAATATTCCAGCTGACTTCTCCTTTGAGAGGACTTGAATGAGAATATGTTTAGAAAGTATTCACTTAATAAACACTGTTTATTAATTATTCCATATTATTGGGAGCATGTAAAACTAGAATACACATCCCTAAATAATTTGTGCCAAGCTTAATGATCAGCTGCATTCTGATTACAGCTTTTATACAGCTTCTGGTATTCCTTATAATTAAAAGACAAGTTTTTTTTTTCTTTTTCAATTATTTGCTAATTAACTGACAAACGACATATTTCTAGAACATGCAGGGCCGGGGGTAGACATCTTTAGGTTGGGTGAAAATAGGCAATTGTCACCCTGGGGAAAATTAGGGGAAGTGTTCAGAAATTTTCAAACATTTTTGTACAAATTTTTATTCAAATTCAATACAAAAAAGGCAGAATTGGCAGAAATAATGCAAGAAATTGGCTATTTCAAAAGAGCTAAATTTCTTGATTTTATTTTTGCAAAATGTAATCGCAATTTTTCAGTATCAATCGCATTGTGGAAAATTTCAAATTTTATTATGGCGCCTGTGTGATGATCACGCATCGTACCCGCCTTGAGTCAGCCCTGAGATCATCAAATCTCCATTTTTATCCCTATTTCCATAGCTGACTATAACTCTTTGGGTAAAAAAAATTAGTGGACTGGAAAGTTCACTGTTATTGATGATACTTTGTAGTTTTTTATTATTATGAAAGATATTTAATGATTGTACCAAGTGCTTAAAACAAAACCCTTTTGTTTAATACCTGTGTAGAGAAATTCTAGTACTCTAACAAACGTCTTGGTTTTTATATCTACACTTATCTCAATGATAGTGTCTTTGCCATAGGATAAGCCGACATCATACACTGAGTAGATTCCTGGAATATAAGAACAGAAATTGCTTTCAGTTTAAAGGTTTTGAATATAATATATAACTAGCTTCTGATAGTCACATGGCTAAATAGCCACTAAATTATTTAATTTTGATAATGTTGCATAAAAATAAGACAGTGGGATTCAAATAATATCTATCTATCTATCATCTACCTTTCATCTTTTTATCACCTACCCACCTACCTACCTGCCTACGTACCTACCTACCTAACTAACTATATTTTATATCTCTATCTACTTATCTATCTATCTCCTTATTTATCTATCTTATTGTCTATCTATCTATCCATTCATCCCTTCATCCACATCNATATATATATATATATATATATATATATATATATATATATTTATATACTGGTATGTAAATTATTACATCTTGCTATAATTTGTTGAGAATTTAATATCTTGTTTGAATATATGGCTCGTGACAAACAGTATAAAACACAAAGGACGATACCATTAATTAAATAAAGTAATAAAAAACTATACCCAAACTAGTGCTAATTACAAATAATAATTTATTAACCTAACTTTTAATAGAGAATCAAATTGAATAAAAATAAATCTAAGGCTATTCACTTACAGTACAGCAATGAATGTGTACCGGTACAATATTGGTGCACACACATATAATAAATAGATTGTACAAATCTATGATCAGTACAGTATGTTAGTCTATTCGTTTCACTTCCGACTCGTATTGTAATTGCAAACTCCGTCTCTCTCTTTGTCTTGCATTCTCTATCTAGCTCTCTTCCATTTCCTATGTTGATCGGTTTATTTATAGTATTTCATAGAGATTTTCTATAAAGGGGTTAGGCATTGTATCTGTACCTGAGCCTGTCTCAGAATTCAACTTTAGACTGTGATTATATCTAGTCAAGGTCAAGGGAGACAATTTATAACTAAGCCATATCCCGTCTTGATGCCAAACAAAAGGTCAGCCAAAGTTCACCCACACGATTCCCGATATAAAAAAAGACGTCTATCTAACACAATGTAAACAAGGCAAGCTTCTACCGCAACCATATAAAAAGTAAAAAAATATTTATCAATTTCAAAATTTGTGGGTATTTTTTACCTTCTATTTTTCCAGCATTTAAGTCATCACGACTGAATCTTTCAATCTGATTGAATTCTGGCAGCTGTGTGCTCCAAATTATTATTCATTTTTTTTTAATATAAAAAAAAATAAATACTTAGTTACAATTATTATTATTTTTTAAATCTAAAACTTTAATAAAGAAAGGACATCTTGTCAGATGCCTTGCACAGTATTGTGAAAGTAGTAGCTTCAAAATATGAAGGTAAACTTTAAAAAGTATTTTAAGTAATTAACAGTTTTACACTATTTAGCAATGTTTAAGTTACCTCACTATATTTATAGTTCATTAATTCAAATATTCATTTTACAATAAAAAGATTTGATTCCTGAATGTAAAAGACTTCATTTTAAACAATAGTATATAATTAAATAACTGTATATATGTTTTTTGTCCATTAAGTTAAAATGATTATAAAATTTATATTAAGGATAATATTATTTTAAAACCACTTTGATTAAAATTTAAATTATTCTTATTTTAACATTAAAAGTTATTTCTTTAGAATGATTTTTTTCTGTGATTATTTCTTCTCTTTTTTCATTGGGATGTAAAAAGAAATTGTTAATGATTATTTTTAATACAATATATTTCAAAACATCTAAATTTAGTTCTATAAAACTTAATCATTTTATAAAAATACATACATTTGATGGCAAGATGCCCGCCAGTATTTTACCAAAAAAATTTGATGCTGAGCAAATAACTAATTTGTGTGCATAAAACCTTCTTGTGCCTTCAACCAGAAATGTCACATCATGAAATTTTGGATGCTGAAGTGCTTTGTACCAGTCTGTAGCAAACACTGATGATTCAATTTCCATCCAAGGAGCTTTACCTTGTTAAAAATGTTAATTATAAGTAAAAATGAACTTGATCGAAGCTATTTCTTTGTCTGCTTTACTAAACTTAAACTAGTAACTTCAAGTGAACTTTTCTGCTTTAAAGTCTATAAGCATCAAGCATTAAAAGAGAAAAGTCACATTTTTTTTTATATCTCTTATAAGTGTATTCTTTTTAATTTCTTCATGATAAAGCATCTTTTCATCTAACAAATTATGAATGTAAATTAGCTTTTAAATATTTATCACTTCAAATTCTACAGAAACATAATACAATGTTTATATTTTAGATTGGTAAGCTTATTTCATTAATAGTATTTTATAAGGATGCAACAAAATTATAAATAACTTATTTTTAAGCATTTTAAAAATTCAGATTTACGTTATTGGAGAAATATTGCATGGTAAATAATAATCAGTTTTTTAAAAAGATCTAGTACTATAGATCAATATCTCAGAGTGTTGTGTCTTCAAATGATACTTTTATTTATAACAAAAGTATGAAAGGATGATCAGTGTAATATTATGTTTAAAAATTACTACCTGCAGGGGGCATGATGGGTGGAAGTAATATTGCTCCATTCTTTTTTTTACTTCCAATTGAAAAAATAGACTTTGATTTTTGAGCTTTAGTGTTTGCAATAAATATCTGCACCTGGAAAGAAAAGATCAAACTTAATTAGTTATTAAAATTGATACAATTTAAAATATTTTAAAAAAAATAAATAAGGCATTCTGACATTTCTAGTATGATAGAACTAATTTAAAGGCTAATATAAAATTTCAAAGCAAATTTCATTATCTCATAACAACTTCTAAATGTTTTTAAGGCTATCAATGTAATGTTATGTTTAATTTTATTTAAAAACTTTGTTTTGAAAAGATTGTTGTTTATTATTTTTTTGTTAAGGAAACAACTTTGTAGGCCTATACCACCTTAAAGTGAGGTTAAAAGTTTAACATTAACTTACTGATCTATAAAAACAATCTTTTAAGCCATATTGATTCAGAGCACTTGTTTCTACATAGTTTAATCCCAGCTCTTTAGAGAGTGCTCGACCTTCCTCATATGTAATGCTTCTCTCTTTGTAATTTGAATATCTGAGGTCTTAATAAATAAAGAATTTGATTATAGTGGTAGACTCTGCCTTTTCCATCAAGTGTTTCAGCGACTAGTTCAAATTTATTGATACTTTACAAGTGCAAATTATATATGAATTTTAATCCAGAAGTTTCATAAAAGTTAATAATGCCTCCTGAAATTTGGTCTATTGCTTTTTTATTATTTAAAATTATTAAAAAGAATAATTTTAAAATAAAACCAATATTACTAAAATTACTTATTAATTATTAGGAACTTAAACAGAGACCAACAAAAATATAATTTTTAATCAAACAAAAAGCTTTAAGTTTAAACAAACAATTTTTTTTTTTTATAAACATTGAATACATACCTGTTTTACAGGCAACTAATAAAATAGGAGTTTCTGGGCAAAAATGTTTTATTTCTGGCAACCATTTTTCTTTAACATTATCAAATGACGAACGTCTCTCAACTGAGAAGCAGATCAGACAAATGTCAGTTTGTGGGTAGAACAAAGTACGCAGGTGATCGTGGCCTTTCTGTATAATTTGAGTATAATATAATAATTATAATTTACTAGAGTTAAATATATGATACTTCATGTACCTCTAACACATTAGTATATAAAAAGTTTAACAATAAACATTAATTATTAATAATTAATACAGAAGTCTACTTTTTTAAATTTTTAATTTTTTTTTTTTTTTTTAAATATTGTTTTTAAAAAGTATATCCCTCTATGAACTCTATGCTCTATGTGATGTGAATGTGTAAGTAGGCCTACAATAAGTAAGGTATGCTATTTTTAACATATTAAATCAATCTACTTATTAGCAACATAGTAACATAGCTAAATACGTATTATTTAATTTATAATAGACACTTTCATGATAGTCTTGTCTAATAAATCCTGATTTCAAACAGTGCCATCATTATATACAAAATAAAGCGGCTAAAACCGAGGACAGCTGCCACGGCGTCTTTTGTGTGTTTATTTATAGTTGCAGTGAATTAGGGTTTAGGTTAGGTTGAGGGATCGATTTAGGGTTTAGGTAAGGCCATAGGGATCGATTTAGGGTTCAGGTTAGACAGATCGATTTAGGGATACATTCGTGAAATTCGATTAAATAGTGGCAGGCGTCCCCATCATTGTTTACCAATAAAGCTTATCTCACCCGTCCAGGTGTGTCCCAGAGCCCTAAATACACCGGTTCTCCATCCACCATCACAAGGGGACTGTAGCCTCCTACAATCGTTGGCACATATTTCACCGGGAAGGCTTTTTCTGTGTACGTCATTAACATACAGGTTTTACCAACCCCACCATCCCCTACTACGACGAGTTTCAGACACAGACATTGCGGCATTGTTGATGCTTTTTCTAAGCTGGGGTAAATATAAAATGAGAACCATGTAATGTTAAAAAGGCCTATCAACAACAATTTTTCATTATCAGTTAAATCAGTCATACATAGAAAATTCCAATTTTTGTATAAATAGAGTCTAGCTTTTTTCATATTTTTAACGAATTGGATGCGTACACCGCGGCGGTGTACCTAGCGAAACCATCCGCTTGGCCTGTGTAAACCGCGGCGGTGTACCTAGCGAAATCGTGGGCTTTGGCCTGGGTACACCGCGGCAAAAATGTACCATTGGTTTGGTTTTAAGTTATGCCTGTAAGAGAAGATCTTGTGTGGTCAAGTGGTTAGTGGTTGTACGTATTGCCGGCCTATTTTTAAACCGAAGTGGGTATTCGCACCCGGGTACCCAGAAGTGAGGTTGGGATTAAAAAACTATTTGAAATATTAGTGTTGGGTTTGTAAGACAAAATAGGTAACAAATGAAAGATAATTGATCATTGAATGGACTATGTTTGTAAACTTACTTCTTCAGTTTAACTAAAAAAACTAACACAAATGATTTATCCGAATAGCATTGTGATTGGTCTAAGTCTAAGTGTAATGGGATCCGGGTGCGAATGACGGTGATTGGTTTCTTTTTTTAAACCAGCTTAACTTATAGTAATACAAAATATTGCGTTTAAAAAAGAAATTTGACCTAAAATTTTAACGTATGAACTGAGAAAAAGATTCGACTAAATTTCCTTTTAATCAAATTTCCCTCGATCAATTTTCCGTTTACGAAATTTCTTTCGATCAAATTTCCGAATACAGGTGACTCAAACAAATTCAACTGAGAATTAATAAAGTTAACTAATTAAAAAAAAAACAACAACAATAAAAATTAATAATATGTTTGAAAATTAAAGACATAGCAAATATAATTATAGGCAGTCAATAATAAGATATGTTGTAAATTGTAATAATAATTGCATCATTATTATTATCAATTAGTATAAGGGTTTAAATTAAAATTAAAGTTCAGATTCAGATTATGAATTATGCAATAATAATAATGAAATGACAATGACAGATTGATTCATTTTAATTTTAAAATAATTAATAATTATTACATTATTTTAATTTTTTTTTTTTATTAAATTACCTGTGAGTAAGAAAGAGGAAATTCTGCTTTCTTAATAACTTTAAAACAAAATATGACTTACTTCTATCGTAATGTATATTAATTATTATTTACTCACTTCTATTTAACAGCCATGCATCAAATGATAAAAATAGCCCGATGTTGAAAGATAAAAATATCAACAAATGAAACGAATCGTAATAAAAAATCTATTTAAATCTTCACGTCTAGCCAATCAGTAATCGTCTATTATTAGATATCGTTTTATAAATACGAAGTGGCTATAGGTACCCGAGTACCCATCATCGCCAATGACTATTCGCACCCGAAAGTCTTAGTAATCGAAAAAAAACCATGATCCGAACCAGAGGCTTAATAATCGACAAGATTGCCGCGCTTTCTTTTATAAAAATGGAGGTGGGCAGCATTTTTGACACCTATGCTTCTCTTTTGAAGACGAATTGAATTATTTTTGTAAAGAATACAATGTGTGTTTCACTAAAAGATCGTCAGAGAAGATGAAAGATCCCAATTTGGAACACCTTAAATATGAATATATAATTCACTGTTGCAAACAAGGCGTTAAACGTAAGTCAAAGTCTTCAAAGACAACAGGCCATGCCATTCATAAATTATAAAGTAATAATAATAGGTTAACTTTAAATTTAGTTGGTTTTGTCATGTAATAATTCTTTCTCCAAGCCAATGATTATTACCACGGTAAATGTAGAGGACGAATGCCACTATTTTATCGATGGACATGATTAATGTATCCATAAATCGATCACTATGCCTATGCTATGCCTATGCCTAACCTGAACCCTAAATCGACCTCTCCACCTAACCTAAACCCTAAATCACTGCAACTATAATAAAGAAGCAAATGACGCCGTGGCATTCGTGCTCTACATTAGCCCCTACCACTTTTGGCAATTCGTTGAGAATTTTTATATTTTTCAGTTCTTTCAAATTGGGATGCCAGGCAAAGATAAAGTTTGTTGCCAAGAGAAATCCATCTCGGCTAGAAATTACCAAATCAATGCATGAACATACTGAATACTGGCCATGAAGTATCAAAAGAAGTAAGTGCATGTGCTGCGAAAAATATTTACATAATAATAATAAATAGCTTATTCTTGTGGCAGGTTGTTGTCACCTACAGGTATTCTAGTACTATAGAGTTTAGATGGATGCATTTTAAAAGAATGTTTTATGCCATTCATTAACCCATTCAATCTAGGGCGCTCAGAAATTTTATCACTGAAAACTTTATGTTAAGGTTAGGGTTACCACCCTTACCATAGAATTAGAAAGGGTTTGAAAAAAAATTAAGACCAATCTATTTAAAAGTAAAATTAAATTTAATAAATTCTAAATAGTCCAGACAGAGTTTTAATCTTAATTTTGATTATTGTGACATATAATAAACATAAAACATTTATCCCCAAGGTGAAGGTTAGTTATTTTTATGTACACAGCGGTGAGCCCAGCCCTAGGCTGGGGTACCGCACTATATAAGACCAATGTTCCCTCTAAGGTTTGTTGTTTTGTGTGCAAAATCATACAGTTATGTGCAAAGTTTTACAGCATCAATTTTTTTGTGTGCAAAATTTTACAGTCCAGAAACACAAACACACACTTAGAATGAAATTTGCTGTGCGGATACTCAAAACTGCTGCGCAGCGCCTGTGAGATGGCTGCGCGGCAGCGCAGCTTAAAGGGAACCTTTTATAAGACCACTAATAATAATAATGTTTGCAGAGCATATTTTTTTACATAATACTTATTATTGCAAAGTAACCTTTGTGTATTTTTTTTCCAGATGTGCCGCTTGTATCCGGAAAACCGCAAGGTGGAACTAAATGCGGCAACGCTTCTGTTGATGTCCTGCACCACGATTCAGGCATCTGAGGCCCGGCAAGTGCTTGAACAACAGCATGATGTGGATTTGCTTCCCAGGGACATTTACAATATTAAGTCAAGAATAAATAAATCATCTTCTGATGCAACTGAAACTTAATCTATACTTCATTCTATATCACAAGCTGGTGGAAGTGTGTCCTATGGACTAACAGAAAGTGGGGAATTTAAGTATTTATCATACATGACTGATGATATGATTAGAATTATGGCCCAATATCCAGAGGTTTTATTAATGGATTTCACATATAAAACCAATAAATATTTATATCCACTTTTTGAGGGCAGGGGCATTCCTGTTCTTCATGGTTTTGTAAAAAAATGAAGATAAGGAATCTATTTCTCTTTGTTTGCAGCTTCTTCTGAAGACTTCTGATGCCAGTCTTTTCAAGTGCTTTGTGGTTGACAAAGACATGGCTGAAATCTCTGCTATAAATGATCTCTTTCCAAATGTACCTGTTAATCTATGTCATTTTTACATTAACCAGGCTGTGCACAGGTTTCTTTCGAAACATGTAGGTCCTGAGCATGTTCAGCCAATTCTTGAAGGATTTATGTCTCAAGTTTATACCGAGTCGTGTGATGAATTTTTCAAGTTGATGCAAGACATGAAAGATACTCTTCCTGATGTAGCTTTGGAGTATTTTGAGTCGAACTGGTGGAGTAAGGCCCATTTATGGCCAGCATCATCCAATGCTGATGTTTTAAGACTCCATGCGACAACAA